ATGACTGAGTCCTCCAATTGTGTGAGGAATCAGCAACTGTTCTACTGTGGACCTGAAGGATCTTGGCACACAAACCTGGGTGTGTAACCACCTGCTTTACATTCCATGGGACAATGTATTTCCCTTCATCTGGCTTGCTCTTTCAGGAACTCACACTGTGAATCAGTCACCAGGAGGAGTTAATGAGAACCCATTTGCATGACTAGCCCCTCTTCTGTGAGGTCCCAGATGATGAGATAATGAGACAGCCCAGAGAGAAGACCCTGGTCTGAAGATGCTGTGCTTTACCTACCATGGTTTAGAATCCTGTCCTATTTAATGCTGCTATCTTGCTGTATAGGTAGAAAAAGGCCTAAGTGTACTGGGGAGGGCTTCTATACTCAGTCTTTTCTGATTCACATCCTCAAGAAGTTGAACTGTAGCTTTGCTGTTAAAGCGATTTCTGCTTTGGCAGGTTCCTTTTCTCAGGCTATATGGACAGCATCACACACCTTCTCTATGCCTCTGTGATCAACAGTCAGACTCACCTGCACCCGGAGGAGTGGCATCAGTGTTGGTGATAAAATCATTTACTGGTCCTAGCAGATGCAGGGGAGCCTCTCCAGGTTTTTCCTGTACTACTACTACTCAGACTCAGAGAAGGGGCCAGGACTCTCCATTATATTCTCTAGTTCCAAAGAGACCTCAGAAATGCTGCAAATTTACACATCTCTGGGCTAAAGGTGGAGGATGTGGCTAACTATTATTGTGTTATCTGGGAGAGTAGTATTTTCACAATGATACAGGAAAAGGGGAACTAGGCATAAATTTTACTTTGTGTTAAAAAAAAATCAGTTCTGGTAGAGGATATGCCATGGCTGCATGGAGGGAAGCTTAAGGCACAGAGAAAGATGCTTAGGATAGCATCAGCTTTGAGCGGAGCAGAGGCTCATGGTGGTGGTGTGGACTATGGAAGGACAGTATAGAGCCTGCAAAGGCACCTGCAGCAGCTGCCATGTCCAGGCATGAATGGCAAAATGTGCCAGCATGCAGAAGAATGACTGTTTCGGGGGGAGCCTTATGGCCCAGTTTTGGATCAGTATATGAGTATTTGTTCAACAGGTCTACAGATTTAACAAAAGCCCATGTGGGCAGTCTCTCTTGGCAAAGACCAGAAGAATTTGGAACTGCACAGAATACTGCTGGGACTTGATGCCCTGCATGTTCTCTTCTCTCTGGTAATATTGATGATTGTCTTGGCCTTTTTAGTGTAATTTTGTCAATCATGCATTTGACAGATATGATCATTCTTGGTCTCCCCAGTTTTTCTTGATCATCTTCCCCTAAAATTCTTTGGGAGCTTATGCTTCTCAGGTTTCTTCCCTGGGGATGGCAGCTGTCACTTCAAAACCTTGAAATCTTCTTCTTTACTGCTAGGTTCTCTCAATGTTATAAATCCCTAACTGCTAAAGGAATTCCCTTAGAATGAAAGATGATTTCAGTAGCTATGCCTTCACAGTTTCTTTAGACCTCTTCTGTTGGCAGCAGATGGTAGTCAGTCATTAAACTGATCAAGTGTATGTGTCTCAATCACATATATGATGTGTTTATCAATAATATACATGATATGTGAATATAGGGTATAACACATATATGAAGTAACATCAATAATCTTCATCCTTTTTTGCATTTAAAGAATTGTTTACATATATTTGTTAATACATATTTTATGGGTAATGATTTAGAATCAAAATACAGAAAAATCAAGTTCAAAAGTTAGGTATTTGACAGTAAGTTGCAGTGATGGTAACAATCAGTATTGTACTGTATACTCAAATTTGCCGAGAGTGATAACATTAGCATATAAAAACAGCGTGATCTATTGAATATGGATATTACAATCAAAATCACATGCCCATTAAATCAAGTAAAATCATACTGTTATGCATTTTATAGGTCAAATAGCACAGTCCAGACTAGCAATAATTAACACCAATTGCTGGTAAGCATTCTAACTTGCTCTTTTGTAAATTTGACTTTTTTAGATTGTTTTTGTCCATGAGATCATTTTCAGCTTTTGTGACTTTCTATAGTATATTTGAAATGGTTGTGCCAACCTACATTCTTTTTTGATATTTATTGAGCTCTACATTTTTCTCTGCTCTCCTCCCTGCTTCTCCCCTCCCCTTCAACCCCTTCCCCAGATCCCCAAGACAATTATCACATGGACTCACTCATAAGTGGTTTTTAAACATAAAGCAAAGAAAACCAGCCTACAAATCACAATCCCAGAGAACCTAGACAACAATGACGACCTTAAGAGAGACATACGTGGATCTATACATGGGAAGTAGAAAAAGATAAGATCTCCTTAGTAAATTGGGAGCATAGGAACCATGGAAGAAGGTTGAAGGAGAAGGGAGAGGAAGGGAGAGGAGCAGAGAAAAATGTAGAGATCAATAAAATCAATAAAAAAGAGCAAAAAAAGAGAAAACGTACCTCCAGCCAGTGGGAGGATTCAGTTTAAAGAGACAGCACTACAGAGACAAAGGCCCTTCTCTGCATCAACCAATCTGATGAATCCAAACGTGTGGTGGATGTGTGCTAAGATGGTCTGCAGAATTCTTTTGGCTTGAGGGGGAGATTATCAGCACTGTGAAGGGCTCTATGTGGTGGGAAACCTGTCTGAGGTGGGGCACTTCCTCAGCCATACTCTCCACAAAGTAGCAGAGTTAGTTTGCTTTCGGCATATAGAAGAATGAAGAGGTACAGCTGCAACATCCTGCTACAAGTCCAGAAAAATGGAAGTGGTTGCTGCCTGCCTTGGGAAGATGCACTCACTCTGTCTAGTTCTGAGCTATAAGAAGGCCAGAGGGAGTAATATGAACTTCCCTTGGTCCAAAAACCACATTGCCTAGTTGTTAGGAAAGTCATGTGTGTGTGTGTGAGTGTGTGTGTGTGTGTGTGAGTATGTGTGTGTGCGTGCGTGCATGTGTGAATCTTGAGCACACAAAAGCATATCTTTTAGGTGACAATAACCTTAATAACAACCAATACCTGCTCACAAAACAGAATCACTGTTGGATTAAAAGAAGCTCACTTTCTTTGTTTGCTATGATACAAACTCAATAAACTTCTATACATTTAGAAAAAGCATTTTGAACAAAAGCTACAAAGCTTCAATTTGTAATCTACAGTTTTTGTATCAAATAATTTTTTTAGTTATTCACCACCCAAACCAAAATTTCTATGACAAAAATTAGAACTAGAAAATGATTTATCCTCATGTTGTTTTCCATCACTAATATTCACTACCTGTATTCAGTTCTCCCATATCCCCTTAAATTATCCTTTCTTATTCTCTTTTCTTCATGTTCCTCTGCACCCCCAAGTATGTTTGTTTATGTAATACATATATTATCAGCTAGATCCTACATATAGAAAAAACTATGATGTTGTGTGAATTTGCCTAACATTGTACATTCTAACTATATCTATTTCCCTGAAAGTTTTCAAACTTTATTTTTCTTTAGAGCTAAATAGTATTTGTATGTTTGTGTTTGCATGTTTGTGTTACCAAAATACATATTTTCATGTTAAATCACATACCAATGAAGTAATCTGTTAGTTACCATTTTTCTGTAGATGAACTTAACATTTTACTATTCTTGTATATTTTTTGTAAGAGTGTCAAAGATTTCTTCTGGACATGACAATCTTTACAGCAGATCAAGCGGTATCCATTTCAGATTTAGAACACAGAATCTTGGATTGTGGGTTCAGATTGTGATCTTGTGAATAGGAGAATAACCTGTGTTATGAGGTCTCTGTATTATGGTTATTATGAATCCTTTGGCTAACAGGGGGCGCTGTGGGACTGTGATCTAATACTGGCATTAGGGCTAACCCTGTGCTTACAGAGGAGATTCAACAGTGGGATACTTCTCTCCAGTCAGAGTTTAGGGAGCAAGGGGCTCAGTCTTAGCTAGTGATTCCTCCCAGGACTCTTCCATTACTGAAAGTCTATCCATCTCTACCCCAGGCTCTTTGTTAGCTGAGCTTCAGCAGCAGGGCTCATAAAGAGTCTTGGTAGCCTTGGGGGAAACATATCTGAAGGAAAAGCCACTTTTCTGTAGGGGTGGGAAAGGAGGCCTGGGACAACCTAGACTCCCTGAGGAGATATTTGGTACTGAACTGCTTCTTTCTCACTGCAGGGCAGGGACAGGCCTAGGAGCTCTGCTGTCACCCCGGCCATATCTGCGTCTTAAGCACAGATCACTACTACACTTTACCACAGCATCTCATCTACCATCTGTTCGTCTCTATTACTGCAAGGATCCTTTCCCAGTCCGTCCCGCCCTCTGAGTCTCTGCTAACTTTGATGACTTACCTGTATTTTGAGCATGTCTCTAGCATACAATGATGCAAAAAAAAAAAAAGTCAGATATCTATCCCTCACATCTCCTTGGCTACTCCTCTGAGTCATCTAAGCATGGGTCTTGTAAGAAATATTAATTTCTCAAACGTCTTGTCAAATACTGTAAGACAAACCTGTCCTCTCCCATCACCACTGAGCATTGTTTTCTTAATCCAGCAACGTCCCTTTCTAAATGCCTACTTCTCTTTACATTTTAGAAGTGTTTGCTCAGACAGATACAAGCAAATAATTGCTCTGGGACATAAAGGAATATTCCTATTATCTCTCTGGAGTTTCTGCAAGACAGGTGCCCACGTGTTAACCTTAGCAGACATGGAACCAATGACTGAGTCCTCCACTTAGAGGAATCAGCAACTGTTCTACTGTGGATCTGCAAGAAGTCCTTGCACACAGGCCTCTTTATGTTAGCACGTGCTTTGTATTCCACTGAACCAAATAATTCTCATCACCTAGCTTTCTGTTTCAGGAACTCAGGATGTCAATCATCCAATGGGAGGAGTTAACAGGAAGTCATTTGCATGATTAGCCTTCTTTTTCTGCCAGGTCCCTGGCAATGAGATAATGAGACAGCCCAAGCAGGAGACCTTAGTCTAAGAAGAAGTTGTGCCGTGGCCACAATGGTTTGGACTCCACTCATCTTCATGGTTCTGTCTTACTGGACAGGTAGGGAAAGGTCGAAGAGTAATGCGAATGACTCCTACACTGAGTTAATCCCTTATGTTTCAAATACACAAGAGTTTGTACCTTAGCTCTGCGATTCACTGTGGTGTCTTGTTTTGCAGGTTCCTTTTCTCAGTCTGTATTGACACAGCCACCCTCCATTTCTCAGTCTCTTAGATCAACAGCCACACTCACCTGTACCCTAAAGAGTGGCATTAGTGTTGGTGGTAAAAACATTTACTGGTACCAGCAGATGGAGGGGAGCTCTCCCAGGCTTTTCCTGTACTACTACTCAGATTCTGACAAGAAACTGGGGCCTGGAGTCACCAATAGAGTCTCTGGATCCAAAGATACCTCCAAGAATGCTGCAAATTTACACATCTCTGAGCTACAGGCAGAGGATGAGGCTGTGTATTATTGCTCCATCTGGGAAAGTGATGTTTCTCACAGTGATACATGCAGATGGGGAAGCTGGAAAAAACTGTAGCTTGTGACAAAAATATCAGTTCTGTTTTTTGTTTCTTTATAATACTCATTTTCTATTGAAGTAAAAGATAATGAAATAGTTAACCACCACTCCTATCCCTGCACTAGTACCGTTTTGGTTTTCAGAATATGTACTCACATGTGAAGATTTTGATTTAGGAATCTCAAATAAGAGAAAACACATGATATCTGTCTTTCTATGTCTGGGTTACTTCACTTGATGTGATGTGATCTTTCCATCCATTTTCCTGCCAAGTTCATGATTTCATTTTTCTTTATAGATGAATAGTATTTCATACATATTACAATTTCCTTACCCTTTTTCAGTTGCAGAACATTTAGTTGTTTTCATTTTATAACAATTGTATGTAGAGCAGTAATAACCATGACTGAGCAAGCATCTGTGGAGTAGGAGATCGAGTCCTTTGGGCACATCGCAGGGAGCAGTATGGCTGGATTATATGGTAGATATCTTTAGAGTTTTGAGTATTCTCCACACTGATGAGTGTAGGTGCCAGCCTCATGAGGTTGGAGCCAGCTCTTTTTGCTGCAGCATCCAGTGAAGGGCAGGGCCTGTTATCCCAGGGCCAGTGAAGGACAGGGCCTGCCTAACACGACCCTATGATTCTATCACACATGGTCGCCATGGTTCTTATGGGCCACAGACATCAACACAGACCCAGCTACAGTAAGATAACAGACCCAGTTGGCAGCAACGGTAGACTGTGTGACACACCGAGGCTTCGAATGCCATCAGGATGAAAGAAGAGATATTGGAGAGACAGAAATGATGGAGTATCGAAGAGGGTTTTGTTGTTTCGTTTTGTTCTTTTGAGTTTTTTGTTTTTCTTTTGTTTGTTTGTATGTTTGTTTTGATTTGGTTTGGTATGGGTTTTTTTTTTCATTGGTTTGTCACTGCTGGGGGAAGAAAGGATATGGAGGGACTGAAAGATGAGCAGAATTGGGGTGCATGATGTGAAATTCCCAAAGATTCAATAAAGAAATTATATTAAAAATAATTTAAACAGTCTTAATACATGTAAAAAGTTCATATTAGAATTAAGTGCATTGCCCTTTTGTCAGATTACCCTTTTTTGGTTCAAGTCTTTCTGGAACTTAACTCATTGAAAGTAAATTCTGGTTGTGAGGTTGAAGATAATTAGAGACAGTTGTAGCTTAGAAAGTGTTGAAGAGACTAATGTTGGTAGTCTGGGCTTATATCGGTGATTCTCAATCTATGGGTCTTCACCCACTTGTAGTCACCTAGGTCATTAGAAAACACATTTACATTATAATTAATAACCGATTCAAAAATATAGTTAAGAAATAGTAATGAAAATTATTATATTTGTGCTTGGGGTTCACCATAACCCGAGGAACTGTATTAAGAAGTCACAATATTAGGAACGTGGAGAACAATTGGCTTCCATAAACCTATGATGAGCATCAGTAGGTTGTATAGTGCATGCTGCATTCAGGATTTGTGTGAGTTGGTTTGTTAAGATGAGGCAGTGTATCATTTGGAATGATCAGGAGAATGCATTTTCACCTTGTAGCAGTCCTGCTGACAAACCAAAAATATTGCTTTTGTTTATCAAAACAACACTGCCACCCAGCATCCAGAATTTACAATATTTTTCATTGTAAGCTTATCTCTCAAGATTTTGGGGTAAAAAGCTACAAGGCAAGTAATTCTTTAGCAATGAAGTAATAGAGTTTGAAAACGCAAGTTTGACTAGTCTTTCAACTCTAGCTGAAGAAACATTTCCCAAGTACTCCCCAAATTTGATAGGTATTCAAAAATATCTATCTAATGCTCTCTGAATAGATTGACATGAAAAACAAACCTTTCAATGTACTTTAAGTATTCCCTCAAATATTTGAAGTGAGATGGAAATGGTACTGCACTAGCAGGACTGGATGTCTGTCTTTTAGAAGTCTGATTTTAGGGACTGGTGGGATGACTCGGTGGTTAAGAGCACTGGCTGCTCTTCCCAGAGGACCTGGGTTCAATTCCCAGCACCCACATAGCAGCTCACAACTCTCTCTAACTCAACTTCCAATGGATTCAACTCCCCCACAAAGATATGTAGGTCAAACACCAATGGATATAAAAATAAAAAAAATAGTAAAAGAAAATATGTTTAAAAATGTTTGATTTTAGGCAAATCACTGTCTACTTAATGTTAAATCATCTCAAAGACTCTAACTTTAGTACTGGCTACTTTATAGCAATTAGCCATCCTGATAGCACAATCTCTATTTTTTATGTGGTTATACTCATGACAGTCTTGGGCAAAATTGGTCAAGAGGTAAAGTTTATATTTTAAATGCATTCTCCCGTTTCAAGACTCTTATCCAGCAACTGTCACCCACATGCCTGATTAGTGTAGTTTTCTTTTAATGCGTTAATTTTCTCCACTTAAAGTTTCTCCCTCCCCTCTGGACAACCCCATGAAGGTTGGTACAATAAAACTGACCTGTGACTTTCTTCCCAGATCTTGAAATAATCCAACAGACTTCATCGTGGAAAATACATGATTTTAGTTTTTCAATGATGGTTTTCTTTTAGTTCAATGAGAATTGTATTGCTATGGTTTCAAAGCATTTCTTCATTCAAGTTACTTTATATAAATTATTTCATTTTTTTTTTTTTTGGTTTTTCGAGTCAGGGTTTCTCTGTGGTTTTGGAGCCTGTCCTGGAACTAGCTCTTGTAGACCAGGCTGGTCTCGAACTCACAGAGATCCGCCTGCCTCTGCCTCCCGAGTGCTGGGATTAAAGGCGTGCGCCACCACCGCCCAGCTATTTTTCTAAAGGAATAGTAATCCCCTAATCTATTTGTACAGAATTTTAAAGGACTAATGAGATATAAATAATGACTTCTAAAATAGTTTTCTTTGGGTTCAAATAAATATGAGCCTAAGCTTATTGGTAAGAAAAGAAACAAAATCGGTACATGATTTCTTAGATGTTCTCCTAAGCTGCACATGTTCATAGAGCATTCTTTTGTGGATATTAAGCTGTAATATAGTTAGTAGCACATCTCTTTTCTGCACAGAGGACTAGAATACCTCAATAGCGGCAAGCATAATCAGATATTTACTAAAGACCTGTACTTTCAATGTTTCTGAACCATGTGTTTAAAGTTGTGACAATTATCATTATGTAAATTTCAAATTGTGTTAGGCTTTTCATTATAAGAGGGGGTTGCTGTGAATTTCTGAAGGGAGAGAATCCTAGAAATGAGCGTCGGTGCCATGTAGTTACTATGGTCTAACAGTCGTTGTTGCAGTTGAACACCAGCACTAGGTAGTAACACGTCTATTGGAAGGACGGAGCAGACAACTGTAACTCGAGTACATATTTTCAGTCATGAATTCTGGACTCTATTGGCTGAATCAAAGGCATAGGATTTAGAGCCTAGTTTACGAAAGCTAGATTATGGAGATCATTGCCACCACTTCAGTTTCATCCTAACATCCACACAAGTTCCGTGGGGGCATCTCAAAAGTTACAAATTCATCTCGTTTTGCATTTCGCTAATTTTTCTTCTACCTGTTTTCCTGAATAAATAATACCAATTTTTTTTTACAATAGAAAATTTACTAAAGTAATCTCCACAATGGATAATTTTGTAGTCATTTTTTAAAGCCTCAGTATTACTTTAAATGTGGATTTATACTTGATAAATTCTGTGTAACACTGATTAGTATGAATTCTGCTTAAAAAAACTGAACTGATTGCTGTCAATTGCTGTCAAAACATAAAACGTTATTTCTAAAGAAGTACATTGTTTTGGTGGAGATTGCTTGTTTGTTTCCTGGCTGCCCAAATCCTAAATAACCACACAGTAACTATATTAATTACAATAATGTTTGGCCAATAGCTTAAGCATATTTTTTAGCTAGTTCTTACATCTTAAATTAACACATTCCTATTATTATATATTGTACCATGAGGCCTGTTGTTTACCTGTAAGGTTCTGGGGTTTTATCTCCTCTGACAGCTACATGGCATTTCTCTGACTCTGCCTTCTTTTTGAAGAATTGTTATTAATTAGATGCACAATTATGGTTTACTTTAAGAGCTTTAAGTGCTTTTTTTGAGATGGTAGTTGGCATTTAGATTAATTGGGGAAAAATAAGGTATCTCTGTAGCAGTATTAAGCATCCTTTGGGTATTTGTCTAAGGGCACTATAACTGGGTCTTGAAGTAGGTCTATTCCCAGCATCCGGTGTAACTGCCACGTTGCTTTCCTTAGTACCAATACAGGGAATATATTGGTGGGAATTTGCCTCCCACCAGCAATGGATGAATGTTCATCTCAACTTACTTTACATCATCACTAGCATGAGCTATAAAGTGCTTTTTAACTGATCTGGTAGTTGTCTCATTCAAGCTACCATACAATACACTCCAGGATAAGCACAGAAAACATACTACTGGAAGCTAGCACCCACCTGTGCAAGAAAGTACATGGCACTTGTCTATTCTGGCCTGAATGACCCCACACAGTATAACTTTTTTTTAAATTTTTTTGTCCAGTTCTATTCACTCAGTTGCAAAGGTCATAATTTAAGTTTCCTTTTATAACTGGGTAATATTCAATTTTGTACATGTATGGCATTTTCACTAACTAGTGGTCAGTTTCCAGAAAGCTAAATTAATTTCATGTCCTACCTATTGCAATTAGGTGGCAATGAACATGAATGTGCAAGTATCTTTGTAGCAGGCTATAAAGTATTTTGTGTACATCCATGAAATTATAGCCAGGATATATAGCCAATCCTTTTTTTGGCATTTTAAGTACTGATCTCGACAGTATCTATGTGGCCTTGCATTCCTACTAGAGTGCATGGAAGTTTCTCTTTTCCCACCTCCATTCTAGCATTTGCTGCTATTTCCATTCTTGATGATTGATTGTCTAACTAGGGTGAGATGAAATCTTAAGATA